TTCTTGTTGTGTATTTTATTTAATTCATCATGCATTAGTTTGCAGTATACATCACATAGTATCCCGCTACATGGTGACTCTCTTATTGACACGTTTATATGTATGATGCTAGTACACGAGTTTGTACTCTATCATATTTTTATTGATAAAAGTTCTTATCATTTCTATTTTGCTTATTTTTATGATAGATTTTACTCTGTGGCTACATAAAATTATATTCCATTCCTGATGTGAATCAGACCATTTGTGATAAACATTATATAAGGATAAGACGGTGGATTCAAGTCCCAACGCACCATGAGAGTAAGACATCGGGTTTTGAATCCTGATGATCCATGATTGTAAAAGTTGGGTTCGAGTCCCAACTCGTTATGGCCTAACATGTCTTTATATGGGTAAGGCATTGGGTTTGAGTCCCAATGCACCATATTGATGATATAATGATGACTAAAGAAAATAATGTATTTTTCATGAAAAGGCATGAAGCTTGTCCCACTTGATTTGCTCCATTCTTGAAGTGAATGTGATAGTTGTGCATAATAAGTCTAAATAAAGACAAGTGGTTGACTAATGAACGTGGGCGTGGCCAAAGATCAAATAATAACAGTCATCATTATGGTAATTATAAAAAGGAGAACAATAAGGGTTCTCAAAATAATCCTTCAAAGGTGAAGGAAATGTGTATCAATTTGGTGTGTAAATATAAGGCACGTTCAGACGATTATAGTCCATTTTTTGAAAGAATGCGACTTGTGATAAGCATTGTAAATACAGACTCATTCCTGAAGTGAGTGTGAAAATATATATGTGATATAAATTATGCACAAGAATGTATTTATGCATGGTTGAATAAATACTACAGCTCACCTCTAAGGAAGGTTTGAGAGAAATAAAGATAATGAATATGTCATTGGTCGCGTACATGTGGTACGGCAAAAAATATTGTGACATGCCTTATAAAAGGTTATTAAAGGCAAAAGTAAAGCAAGAAATGATTTTGCTTATGATGATTTTGACCATGACAATTATTATGATATGATTTTCTCCGTGAAGGAGACATTCACCATATGGATGGTGTGACAAAAGATCTTGTAGTACAAAATCAATTAAGAGCTCCGGAAGAACGAATTTGTTACTACCCGAATAAATAAAATTATTCATGGCATTGGTGGTAGTAAGTCTCAAAAAGGAACTTTTTGAGTTTCAAATATATTAGCCAAAGAGGTTGGCATATTGAGACTATAAATGAAAGGAAGATTGAATATCTTCATATTACTATAATCATACCGGGTAAATATGAAAGGTTACCCGATTTTTCTTCTATTTGTACTACAAATGTATAAGCATGGTGATGGAATCACATTCCATAGTAAATTAAATATTTACTGAAACAAATATTAGTTGGCACGACCGGTTGGCCATCCCGGTTCAATTATGATGTGAAAATTGATTGAGAATTCACATAGGCATATATTAAAGAAATAGAAGATTCTTCAAGAATTCTCTTGTGCTGTTTTTTTTTCTCATGATATACCAGTTAAGGTTGGGATTGAATCCCTTGATATCTGGAACGAATAAAAGGTGATATATATGTATGGGCCCAATCACCTGCCATGTGGATCGTTTACTATTATATGATTTTAATAGATGCATCTATTGTATGGTCACATATGCGTTTGTTATCAACTTGCTTTGGTTTTTGCAAGGTTGTTTGCTCAAATT